TCCAAGATCTCCTTCCTCAATGGTACCACTTGATTAGACTCCACTAGATTAGGCTTCATTAGCAACTGGGTTTTCGTCTTTTCCTTTGCAGCTGAGTGGGGGTTTTTATTCTTAATTTACATGATATTGTAGTATTCTTCTGCAGCTCTCCCTAGTCTGCCTCAAATTTAAATCCCCAAAGAACGCTCCCGCGGCATGGTCTGCCCTAGCGCACCCGCATCTTCGGGAGCCCACAGGAACCACCACCAACGTCCCACTGCTGGGGGAACTGAACAGCTCGTCTTTCCTTTTATTTCCCTCTTCAAATCCTTTGCTAATATCTGAGATCCCCGCCACACCAATACACACCCCTTATCTGGGACAGCTTGAGGTTTTTTAGAGTTTTTGCTAAAGTACTTTGTCATTAAAACAAACAAAAAAAATCCTAGCACATTTTGCCAGACAGCCTACCTTCAAAAAACAAAAAAAAATCCTAGCACATTTTGCCAGACAGCCTACCTTCAAAAAGAGTAATTGCATGAGTGCAAATAGCCTATAGGAAACCCTACGCTGCAGGTTTGGAAACAGAACTGCTGTAGGAAGAACCCACTCTGCAGCTCCGCTGCGTGCCGGCGAGACTGGGCCAGACCCACCAGGCTTGGGGCCATCACACAACCTTGAGCCGTGCACTTTTTTAGTGGAAAGCCATTCTTAATCAAAATATATCTGTTGTTTATTTTCAGTAGAATGCCTGCTTTTTACACATTTCCAAATAAATACACCAAAACTGCTGATCTGGACTATCAGAAGCGGTTATTGCAGTAGAGGACGTGGAGTAACCCGGTGCCTGCTGCAGCAGGAAACTCGGACAAACAGAAAAGCCTGTCCCAGTTCGGTGTTTCTATTCAGATGATAAAGAGGACGGATCATTTTTCCTTGGGTTCATTGTTTTTGGCTTTGTATGATAAAAGACATGATCATACTCAAAGGGTTTTCCAGCCTCTATGTATAGCCTCTATGCTGAGGAAAGAAAAATACCTGTCTTGCAGACAGACCATCCGAGGGTGCTCCCATATCACCTTCCCATGCCTCTCTTCTGGCATTAGTGTCGCTGCTGTGAGGCTGCACGCCGTCCGCTGCTGCACTTGAGAGGTGGGTTTGGTAGGTTCTTGCGCCTGCAACGGGAGGTTGCTAGGTGTGCCAGGAAGCCCTGCAGAGGTCAGTCAGTTTTTGTACTGTGATGAGATGGTGTTGACTTCTTACTTGCTGGTGTTGTTTCCTATGGTGGAAGTGTTTATCCAGTATTAAGGTTACTCCTTCTCGTACTGCTGCCAGAGCAACATTGCTGTTAGGTGAATCAAATAAAATGCGGCCACCAATACAACAGAAACTAAAACAGAGGCATCAGTTTTTGCTATTTATTCCTGTTTCTAGAGTTGAGAGAGAGAAATAAATTAATTTGCTTGGGCTAGAAAATTAACTGGAGAAACCAAATCAGCAGGTAAAGTCTCTGCTCAAGGCCACACAGTTCAAATAAACGCACTGAGGGGTATGTTTTCTCCTTAACAAATCTTACCGTAAAGACCCTGATATGATCCACAGCATGAAGAGTAGCTGTCTAGTTTAAAGCGAACAAACACACTTGCTGTCATTTTTCTGAATAGCTAGGGAGGCTTCATTTTCCATTTCATAATCCTTAAGACAGGAAGGTACTTAGGCTAAAAAATTCATTAAACATTAATATAAAGCCCATTTTAACTTCAGACTGTTTGCTTTGCAAAGATAATTGTTTAAGAGAATGAAGTGTACTCCCTTTGTGGTTTTCCATATATTTTTCAAAAACTAATACTGGAATTATGAAAGATAGGAATAACTACAACAAAGTAAATTAAATCAAGTTGCCAAAGCCTTTGGGAAGAACTAATGCAAATGAATCAAGCACATATGTAAGTGCTAAACAGCAACAGAGCAAGTCTGCTTCTGAGCGTCACTGCTTTCAGAAGATGCCTGAGACGCCACCACCTTCTGTAGCTCTGAAGTCGCTATGTGGTAAAAACATAAAATGTAAAAATAAACTGTTAGCTCTGGCTACTGCCATATATTGTAGTTTTTATCATTCCTTTCCTTTTCTATTATAATTCTTACCTCTAAAAGTGTAATTGATAAATGAGCAACCAACGTTAATTTTCCTTTTCCGTCACTGGGTATCATCTGTTCATGTAAAATGGAGATTCTATTTTTTAAAAACTATTTTGACCTTAAAGGCAGAGGAAACTGGCATTTAAAAGATGTTGCTAAGGATAATCTCTTATAAATAAATAAACCTGGAGAAAAAGAAATGAGAGAATAAACTTAAACTCTTCGTCCTGGAGAGCACTGAGTGCCAATATGTTAAAGGTCTTCTAAAAACAGCTGACATGGAGAGGCGAGGAGAGAATTAGTGTTCGCTCTTTCTTCCAAGGCTAAATATGGTGTATTGCTGGAAAGAGCAGGACAAACCGAAGAAGATAATGTCATTGCAAAAGGTAGGCAAGTTTTAGAAAGTCAAACATTAAATAAGTTTCCAAAATGGTAGGACAAAATGATCTAATAGTGCTAATCTAGGTCTGGCTCAGAAATTGGTGAAAATTGTGCCCAGTTCTAAAAGGATATAATGGTGCTGACTGTGGGGGGTAAAGGCAATAGGCGTGAAGCAAATGTGAGTGCGGAAAGGAATGTTATTACCACTGTAGTGAAAAGAAAACCTGGGGAGCTTAATTCTCGTGGAGGAGAAATGACTGGAAAAGAGCAAATATTAGCAAATTTGATGAGTAAATGGCTCTGACATCAGTAATATGTCATGCTTTAGAAGAGATTCTGAAAGAAGGACTAATTGTAAGACGGCAGTAGGAGGAAAATACAGCAAGCGCCTGTGAAAGGCAGATCAGACTTGACTCCTAAATAGCTCTCCCTTTTAAGAACGCTGAGATCTGGCACATTTTCTTTGCCTAGAAAAGCTCATATCTTTAAGCCAAAAATTGCCTGCAAGGCACTGCCTTGGGAAACTCTTAGTGAAGCTGGATAAGAAATTTTGCAGTGAGTACAGATGAAGACACTGGTGGGTTGTGCTGAAAGGGAAAAGATCAGGCTGAAGAGAGTGGAATTTCTGAAGAATTGATCTTATTTCATATTTTTTATACAGTACTGTGGCACAAAGCATAGTCACGCTCCGATGAAATTTTTTGGTAGCACAAAATTGGGGGATATTATCAACAGAAAGAAGGTTTGCGTTTTGAGGATTTAGGATTTGTGGTCTTTTATTTGCAGCTATTTGTTGCTGTACTAAAGTCAATGTACCAGTTAAGGATCTGGCCTGGAAATTATATCAAGCCATGATGTGATCTTTGATCTGTGAAGAGGAAGGGTCAGGCTGGCATCGATGGGTTTTAGCCCATGGGTTTACACATCGCTCTGTTCTTCATCTGAATCTCACTGGGGGAATTGGCCCCGAGTTCGTGTCCACTGTTTGGTTGCACTGTCCTGCCTAGGGCAGCACCCGGGATCCCATTGCTGCCACTGCCAACCGCTTCCATCTCTCTGGTCACCTTCATGTCCTCCTCTCCCAATACTTCCAGGTGCCACTTGGATTGTGATACAAAATAAATGATGATGATTATTGCAGTATGCCACAGGATGGCTGCTGACTGTCATGATCTCTAAGAGATGTCATCTAAAATGGCAGTCTCCAAAGTCTACCTTGATTTCAAGTATTTTGTCTTTAGTTATATGTCTTCTCTAAGCAAGAGATGATTAGCAACAGTACAAGTCCAAGTAACGTGCCTAATTTAGGGGCGGTAACGGAGTCTGTATCCAGCTTCCATTACATAGGGGGCTAAATATCACGGGTGTGAAGGTTATTGGTATCGCTGATTGAGGTACCTATCAGTGGGGGACCTAAGGACAAGATGCTCTTGAGTGGATAATGGCAAGAGAGAGTTGCTGTTTAAAGAAGCACAACATGGGCTCTGTAAAGATTGTTCTCCTGTAGAGCTTCTTGGGGATTTTATATTTTTATATTTTATGCCCGCAAGACAGCTCTTTTAATATGGATGCAAAGATTTCACATCTCTTCCTGGCATAGGAGGCTTTCAGGATTTCTTCTTTCCAGTAGTTTTAAAAAGGATGAGTTTTTTAAAGAGCTAGAACGTCCTGTCACTGTTTTGCATAAAGTTGCAAGCATCTCCGTATTTCTTATTCATGTTACCTGATTTAAATAGCGATGCTGAAAAGAGCTAGGTGCCAGCATCGCTTTGTCCAGCGGTGATTCTCTTTTGCAATGATTAGGTCACCAAAAGGCAAATGGAAGGATGAAGTTAGGGTTTTGCATACGCTGTATGTAGGCTATATTTTATTCATTTTGTATTTTGCTAGAATCAAAAGTCTGACGGAGTTTCTAGTTGCAAATCTAAATTATTTAAGACGCTACTTAATTCAGGTAAAGGGAAGATGACCCATTGTGTGCTACCTGGAATATCAAAACTGCCACCGCACTGGATAGGAGAGATGCGCACACGGTTACGCGCTCATTAAAGCCCCAGGGCAGCTGCCGGGAGGTGTCTGCCTGGGCTGCTTTGTAGATCCCTCTTCCATCATTGCAAAATTCGATTCCCACTCGTACAAAATCGCTGCCTGGGGCTGCGCGCCCAGCTAAGTGTGATCTCGTGCAGCTTAACTCCACCCAAGCCCGGCTCCCTCGGCCCCTCCGAGAAGGCCCCGCGTGTGGCCGCTGTGCGGCTGGCGCGAGGCGAGACTCACATCTGTCAGCAAAATTTGGTTTCTTCTTAAGACCTCAGCAGAAAACATCGGTAAGCTGAATGCAATACCCTGCACGTGCACTTTGCAGTTGCTTATCGATAGTTACCAGTTGTACGCGTATCGCTGACTTGTGTTCTGGTGGGTGCCTGGGCACGGTGCCGTGCTCGGAGCTGGCAGGGACGGGACGTGGGTGCAATGCTGACGCTCGCCTTTTCTGCTCCCTGCAGACCCCCCGGCCGTGGAGCCGACCTTCCTGGAGATCAGGCAGGGCCAAGGCCGAAGCATCACCATGAGCTGCCGGGTCCTGAGAGCGTATCCCACCCGGGTGCTGACCTACGAGTGGCGCCTGGGCAACAAGTTGCTGCGGATGGGCCAGTTTGACATGCAGGATTCGACGGAGTACACCGTGAGCAGCCTCTCCCGGGACAGCTACGGCATTTACAACTGCAACATCATCAACGAAGCGGGGGCCGGCCGGTGCAGCTTCCTGGTGACAGGTAGGCTCTGCGGCGTCCGGGGCCAGCGCCGCCCTTGCACACGGGCTCTAGCTTCGCTTGGCATTTGCTAATTCAACTGCTGCTCCAACCAGCTTATTACCAACGAGCTGTGTCCTTCGAAACGGGCCCATGGCTTAAGGGGTCTTGTTCGAGTTGCGGCAAGGTTGGTAACGAAGTAAGAGGTTGCTCTTGATTCAGTGATTCAAGGATTTTTTGCAGACAAAATGCAAATATCCCTTATCTGCAGGCACTGTCGGTATTCTTTCAAGAGGCCTGAGAGAGTTGTCAGTTCACACATTTCCTCTATTTGAAGTTTGAAGTGATGCTTGAATTTCCTCTTCTCATAAGGCCTGCGAGCTTGGAGACTGGCGGGGTTCGAACTGCAACATCAAGCAACGTCAAGCAACCCGTGTATAAAGGGAGGTTGAAATTTGTTTCTTTTCTTAAAAAGCAAAGCAATTTGTGATCCTAGTACACACGATCACAGACTCAAGGAGGGTATACCACCCCTGCCATGATCTACCCAGGTGGCGTAATTAATGTCCTGGATTCAGACATACTTCAGAGCATGTCTTTTATCTTCGATATCCCCTCTTGGATCTGAATGTTGAATTGGGTTTTTAGAGCTGCAAGTCTTGATTCTTTTTCTGTTGGACATGAGTTACCACGGCCTGAAGATTCAGTAGCCGGATAGTGGGAACGCTCCCTGCCTGCAGCAGGGGCTGCCCGGCCAAGGGAGGGCGGCAGACCGTGCTGGTTGGGGTCACACCAACGGCAGATGTTTGAGGAGCAGACCCTTCCCTCTGGCCCGTTGGTCAGACTTTGGTTAGTGTCAGCGGAGGGAGGAACGCCTCGTGTCGGCAGCTCTAGCGATCCATCTCCTCTGAAGGCAGATGTCTGAAGTATAGGAAAATAGGTAAAAGAGAGCTGTCTAAAAGGAAAGATTTCCCGGGTCAGTTGGGATTTTATTTACTACTTGTTTACTTGCTTGGCCCCAGCTGCAGTGAGATCTATACGCTGTTTTGCTTTTGAGGTTCCTGGCAACCTGGCAGCTTCCTGGACCCTGTCTTTGTTTTGGAAAACAGGCATTATTTTTGGTTTCCCTGCTACCAGCAGCAAGGACATTGATTAATAGATCAGCTGCAGAGTTTTTCCGCTCCAAGCCCCTTGGGTGAAACTATTAAGCACCCCTATCAGCGATGCTGATGTCAGGGCAGAGCCTCCGTACACATCTGTCCTGGAGCAGGGCGTCCTGCAGCGCTCAGGCTGCCTGGCCCACCAGGCCAGAAGGAAATACCGGGAGGGTTCCTGCCTTGCATTTGTCAAAAGCATTTTTGACCTAAGATGTAAGCAACAAAACATTTTGACTCATCTCCCCAGCGTTTTTCAACAAAAGTTGGTTTTATCAGAAAAATTTTGGCCTGCCTGAATGTGGATGCTTTTTTCCTCTTTTAGAATATGACTGGCATCTTGTTCTCAGCGGTTGCGTCAGGGATAGTAGCGTGCCATGCAAATGCGGTGAGAATAGATGAAGGTGGATAACTCAATAAGTAATGGCCCTAATCCTTTTGAAATGTATTTAAGCCTTGGAATGACTTATCATTCTGATCTAAGTGCGGGTATTTTCACAGCCACCAGCTTCTCGAACTCTTTGGAGTTTAATCCAAAAGGTGGCTCCCAAGGAAATGAGAGAAAAAGTCTTTTTCCTCAAATGAGTAAATGCAGTTCAATTTACTGTTCATCACTCTTTGGACCCAAGACAGTGGAAAGCTATTCTAAGGCAATTATTTTGCCAAGACTGGGACAATCTGAGTGGCTTTCTGTGATTTATCACCATGCCAAAGCAAGGCACATAACTGAAAATTAGTGCTAAAATGGTTTTATGATATACTCTGTCTCTCATCTCTCTGTGTGCCATGCTCATTGCTAGTCTATACCATTCTGCGAATTCGTAGTGTGTGGTTGCATAAAGACACTGCAAGTAACACTTTTGGTTATGACTTCGGTATTTCCCTTAGTCCCTTAAGGTTAAAACCAATATTCTCATATTTCGTAAACATGTCCTTTGACACATGGAGTTGAAACTGCTCTCGACAAAGAACAGCCAAAGGAATACATTTGCTCCCGAGCCTCATCAGGACTGATGAAGTTAAAGCACTGGCGAACTGGAAAGGTGTAGACAAAAAATGATGGAATGATAGAAAGGAGACTTTCATTTCATGAGGAATATGAATAAAAAATGTGAGTACAAAAAAAAAAAAATAGGTCATTTCTTACACAAAGACACACACACACAGAGAGAAAAAAATCCACAGCAGGAAAATATAGCAATATGTTGAGTGCTTTTCTCTCAGCTGGAACAGTGGAAATCGTTGTAGTCCATTTTCACTCCATTTTATTTCCAGGTTTTTGTGTAGTAGCAGAGTGCAGCAATGCCTATGTTGCAAGGTCTGCAGAGAAACATTTGTATGCTAAGAGAAAGCTTTTTAGTATAGAACTAAAAGCAGCCAGTATGAAAAGATTTATACTAGTCCTAGAATTTGCAGGATCTGTTTTTATGGCACTTATATTTTGAGCCAAATGTGAGAAGACACAAGCAAAATAAATCACATGTGGAAAAGGGGATTGATTTATATCAGGTATACCAATCTTAGGCAAATTTAACCTGCAAGTATCTTAAAAATAAATAAGAACATATAAGAAAAATCGTGGGGAAGCAAACGTAGTTCATCTCGGTTTCTAACTCTATATATTTTTATTCAGTGGCTGACAGTGAACGTCATAGCCAAAGATTGACAGAAAGTAAATTTCAGGCAGTGTGTCACTAAAACCCTGCCAAGACTGGAAGAAAATGGCAAAAAAAAAATCTCAAATGCAGAAAATGTCATGGATGGCACTGACTATTCATAAGCCTTGCTGCACGTGCAAGAAGAGCGGGGTGCCGATGAACAGGCTGCTGTATACAGCACCGTGGCCGTAGAAGTCACGTTGTGCGGGGAGGACAGGGAGTGTGGGAAGCGGTGCGTTTTTTGATTTAAAGACATATCGCCTCTCCCCTGTGCGATTCCCGCTGAGTTTAGTGGCAGTCTTTTCAGTGAGAGCAAGATATTCGGAGCAAATCTCTGCAGCCTGAATAATCCCTGTTCTCCTGCTGCCCTGGGTCGATGGGCCGCGTTTGGGAGCCCCAGCGGAGGTGTGAAGGGAAGGCTCTTCGCCCTGCGCACGCTGCAAGGCAGATATAACTAAGGGCAATATACACACATATATATACACACATATATATTTGTATATAAGAGGCAGAAGTCCTACTTTGCCGTGGTACTGACAATGTGATTTCCAGTATTTTTTCCTTTTTTTTTCTTTTTTTCCCCATTTTCTTCCCCCTGCCACTCTATTGAGGCCGCCATGTCTAATAACTTTTTAAAATAAATCTATTATTTTCTCCCATTTTACCCTTCCTGGTGTGCTAGGAGCTGGCGTTCTTTTGCTTTCTTTTGTTTTCACATTTTCCTAGTTTGTGAACGATAATTTTGCAGCCCCAACGAATGTCTTTAAAGAAAGATTTTTTTTTTCCATTTAATATATTATCAAAGAGCCAATGAAGTCAATTCAGATCTCCCATATGCTGAGGTTACAAAGTATTTTCATTTTTCTGAGTACAGAAATTCCTGGAACAGTGAATAGATGCTTTTTACAAATAAATATGAGGGCTAGTTGAGGTATTTCTGTTGAAATAATGTTACGGAACGTTAGAAGTTCAGATGAAGATATTCAGAGCAGAAATCTTTATTCTTTTGTCAAAAAAATCAGAATGAAAGCTGAACATTTTCAGGTGGGAAGACAGAAGGAAGAGCTGGCGTTACCAGACTCTCTTTTTCGCTGTAAAAGTTATCCCGAGGTATTTTGTTCCCTTTTTTTCCGTGTTGCAGACTCGGACCCTGCATCATTGCTGGGCCAGCCGTATATCCTTGCACGCACGTTCCTTGCCTGAGTTGCTTCAGGACGTCTGTCTAGCCACCATTTATGAAGCTGGCTTCTTCGTACCTTATATATTAACTTCTGCAATACTCATTAAGATAGCAGTCGCGATGCTGGGTAGTGCTGGAGAAGGCTCCTAGCAGAGGGCCATGTATGTTACGGTGGCACGGGCACTTTTAGCAGCTCACTTTGGAGCCCACCACTTAGCTACATCAGATTCACTTGCTAAGGCAGTTTTGGGTATTTGTTTTGTGTTGTTCTGTTTTTTTTTTTTCTTTTTAATTCTCCATAAAGCGTTGCGTTAATTATTGAGCCGCTCTTTAATTATTTAATAATTCAGTCCCATGTCACTGCCGGTTCTGGCACGCGGGCAGGAGGTAGGCACGTGCCACGTTCCCCAGCGGAGAAGGGTTCGCGCCGCCAGCACGTGCCCACCCCGAGCCCGCGCGGGGACACCGCCTAACCGCGACTGCACCTACGCCGTCTGCTGCAGGGTCTCTCATCGCTGCCGCTGCTTTCTCCCAGGTTTTAAAGAATCGGCATATGAAGACATGGACATTGAATCGTTCTGCCTGCATGACCCCGGCATTGGGACCTGGCAGAAGTTGTGCGACTCGCTGTATGGCCTTGCAGGAGCATCCCAGCGGGGATCCCGCAGCCTCCGCAGCAGTTTCTGACCTCATGTTTCGTCCTTGCCCCGGCCCCAAACACAGCATCTCAGTGGTCTATGCAGCGTCAATCTGAAATCACAACAGAATTACGGTCCACCCTTTTGTAAAAGCCAGAAGGGTTTTGCCACAAGGGCATCATTTAAAATAAGTTGCAGACACTTGGAATTGCAGGGTTTTGGGTTCTTCCAATTTGCTCTGTTAGCTGAATTAAACAGTCTCTGCCAATTAATATTTTATAGCTTCTTCAGTTCTTTCAGATTATAGAAGGCTTTTGGTGCTTAACTGATGTATATAGTGTTTGTAGCTTTCCATTTTAATTTTTTTCTTAGAAATTCTTAGGGAATCAGCTAA